GGGGTTGAACCCAGGGACACTTTATCATTGAACAACATCTTCAGTCCGTTTTAAAGTTGCCGTTTCTGGCCTTCAGCTCGTAATCCTCTTGCCTCAGTCTCCCACGTTGCTGGGATTATAGGTGTGTGTAATTGGGCCTGGCTCCCCTGTTTTTCTCTAATAGTTTTATATATTCATGTCTTACATTTAAACCTTCATTCATTTTGAATTGATTTTTTTAACTGTTGAGAGACATCTAGTTTTATTCCTCTGCATGTGGATACCCAATTTTTCCAGCACTATTTATTGAAAAGACTATTCTTTCTCTAATGTGTTCTTAGCATGTTGGTTGAAAATCAGTTGACTATAGGTGTGTGGTTTATTTCTTTGCTTTTTATTCTGTTCCACTGGTCTCTGTGTATTTTTTAAAAATATTTTTTAGTTGTAGGTGAACCTAATATCATTATTTTTGTTCATTTATTTATTTTTATGTGGTGCTCAGGATCGAATCGAATCCATGGCCTCACACATGTGAGGCAAGCACTCTACAACCCCAGCCCTCTGTGTATCTTTTAATGCCAATACCATGCTGTTTTGATTACTATAGTTTTTTGTATATTTGAAGTCAGGTAGTGTAATGCCACTGACTTTACTTTTTGTTGTTGTTGTTCAAGATTGGCTTTGACCAAACAGAGTGTTTTGTGATCCCATAAAAATTTAAGGATTTTTTTTTCTAGTTCTTTGAAGAATGTCATTGGTATTATAACAGGGATTTCATTGGATCTGTAGATTGCTTTGGATAGCATGGACATTTTGACAAATTGAGACTTTCAATCCATGAGTATGAGATGTATTACCCCTGTGTGTATATGTATGTCCTCTTCAATTTCTTTCATTAAGGTTTTATAGTTTTCATTGTAAAAATCTTTCACCTCTTTGGTTAAACTTATTCCTAGACTGTTTTTTTTGTGGCTATTATAAATGGGACTGTTTTCTTGATTTCTATTTCAGTTAATTCATACTAGCAACACTACTGATTTTTGTATGTTGATTTTGTATCCTGCAATTTTGTGAAGTTCTAACATGTTGTAAATTCTAAGATGTATATTTTAGCTGGGCATTGTGGCACATACCTCTAATCTCAGTGACTCAGGAGGCTGAGGCAGGAGGATTGCAGGTTTGAGACCAGCTTCAGCAACTAAAAAGACCCTAAGCAACTGAGACCCTGTTTCAAAATAAAAACATAAAAAGGGCTGGGGATATAGCTCAGTGATAAAGTACCCCTAGGCTCAATCCCCAGAGCCAAAATAAAGAAAGAAATAGAGAAATAATAAACAAACAAGATATATGTTTTAAATTGAATTTTACAGAAACTGAAAAACAAATATAGGGACTCAAATGGCTTTGGAACTCAGTGCCATCTTGCAAGGTGGATCATCTAGTTTGATGATGTGAGAAATGACTACAGAGCAGAAATAAAAATAATAAAAAGTGGAAAACAGCAACACTCAAATAGAAGACACCATCTGAGGCTAAAACCATGGGGTTGACCAAAGTGAGTTCCTTGGTATACCTTGAATTATAGAATGATTGATATTCTCTTTTCCTCATTTGTAAAATAGAGTATAATCCTTGTGCTTCAAATTATGCCTAATAAATAGTAGCTGGTGAAGAAATTTATATTCCTCTTCTCCATAGCTTAACAGTTTTTATGCTTTCTTATACAGGATCTAAAAGTAGCTATAGAGCACAATCGGTTAAGTTTATGACATCTAGGAGTAGTTGAGCATTTATGTGAATGTATATAACTCACATCATATAGATGTTAAAAAGAGGTATTATTTTCACTGAAGTTTTTTTAAAAATGCTTTCCTTATTTTGCCAAAAAGCACTTTGTTGAGAGTGGGGGAAGCTGTGTGTGAACACAGGTGTTATATATAAGGTTATCTGGAAAGGTTATAAAGGTTATCTGTACCTTTTGCCCAATTTTGCTTTGAACCTGTTTTTAAAAAATAAAGTCTATTCAACTACGATCTAGCAATCCAACTCCTAGGTAACTATGTAAAGGAAATGAAATCAAAGACACATCTGCACATTCATGTTTATTGCAGCACTATTCACAATAGCTAAAAAACGGAAATAACCTCAGTGTCCATCAACTCAAATGGATAAATGAGGTACACATACACAATGAAATAGTATTCTGACATGAAAAATTAAATCCTGTTATTTGGGACAACGTGGATGGGCATGGAGATCATTACAGGAATAAGTCAGACACAGAAGACAAGTACTACCTGATCTCTCTCACATCTGGAACCTAAAAAAGCTCATCCCTTAGAAACTGAGAGTAGAAAGATGGTTACCAAAGGCTGAGGAGAATACAGACGGAAGGTTAGAAAAGAGTTGATCATCAGTACTAAGTAAGATAAGAATAAGAAGTCCTAGTGTGCTATAGATAACTGCGTGTGTGCGTGCATGTGTGTATGTAGCTCAATAAGAAAAGATTTTTAATGACTTAACCATAAAGAAATGTCTGAAGAGATATTTTATTGATTTGAACATCATACAATGTATACAAGTATCAAAACATCATATAGTGGATAAAGAAAATGTGGTACATATACACAACAGAATATTATTCAGCCCTAAAGAAAAGTGAAATTATGGCATTTGGCAGTAAATGGATGCAACTGGAGACTGTCATGCTAAGTGAAATAAGTCAGTCTCCCCAAATCAAAGACTGAATGTTTTCTCTGATATGCTGATGCTAACACATAATGGCAGGGGGAGACTAGAAGTTCATTGGATCAGACACAGAGGAATAAAGGGAAGGGAGGAGGGATGGAAATAGTAAAGATAGTAGAATGAGTCAGACATGATTTTCCTATGTTCATATATGAATATACAACCAGTGTAACTCCATATCACGTTCAACTACAAGAATGGGAATTTTTACTCCATGTATGTATGCCAAAATTCTTTCTATGGTCATGTATATCTAAAAAGAATAAATAAAAAACATTTTATAGTATCTCATAAGTGTATACAATTTATCTTTATCAGTTAAAATAGAGATACACATGTATAGATAATTTAAGAACAATAAAAAATAAAGCCTATTAGAAAAAAAGCCCTAGTCAGGTTGAAGTAAGGACAGTCCATATAGAAAGACAAGTAGGGTGGATAATAGAGATAAATTACATGGGAGAGAAAGACAAGGAATAACTGAGTGAATAGCCAAGTATATTAAGAATAAATGGAAGCTGGGCATGGTGGTACATGCTTGTAATCCCAGTGGCTCAGGAGGCTGAGGCAGGTGATTATAAATTTGAGGCCAGCCTCAGCAACTTTGTGAGGCCCTAAGCAACTCAGTGAGACTCTGTCTCAAAATAAAAAATAAGAAGAGCTGGGGATGTGGCTCAATGGTTAATAACCCCTGGTTCAATTCCCAGTTATCAAAACAAAAAACAAAACAAAAATGAAAACACACACACCCCAAACAAACAAAAACAAAACAAAACAAGAAAAAGAATTGGTGCCAGGTTTCTCTGAGAGTTGTAAATTTGGGAAGAGAGACTGCTTGAATAAACCCTTTTAGTGTTTGATCAAATCGTAAGATTGGTGTGAACTCATGGTTTGCATGTGGCTGTGTGCATATAGGTTTATATATACTATTTTGCATTTGTGTGTATAAAACTGCGTATATTCATGTATATATTATAGTTCTATGAAGAGGGCCTGTGAGTACTGATACCCACATGAGCTAGCACTCAGATCTTGGTTTTAATTTTTTTGCTTTTTACATGAATATTTAATTTATTCACATTTAGTGTAACTGACAGTTGGATTTAGGTCTGACATTTTCCTATTTTTTCTATTCCATTTGTCCTTTACTCTGATTCCCTTTACTCTCTTCTGTGACCACTGAGTCATATCCCTAGCCCTTTTTATTTTTTGAGAGAGGGCTTTGCTAAGTTGCTGAGGCTGGCTTTGAACTTGTGATCGATCCTCCTGTCTCCGCCTCACAAGCCACTGGGATTACAGCTGTGTGCCACACACTGAGGCTCCTTCCTTCTTTTGAGGTAACTGTTTTAAAACTAATACATAAAAGATAAAATTGTACATATTATTGGAGTGCCATGTAATGTTCTATATATGTATACAGTATGTAGATTTGGGTTTTCAAGTATCATTTTCCATCAAAGGAATCGAGTTTTTTGGACAAAATGGCTGATCCAAGAACCAAAGCAGATGACACATAAGATGGCACTGAAAGTAATGGAGGTGTCCAAAGAATAATGGTGACTTGCCAAGGACAGAGCAGCTAGTAATCAGAAGCTCCTACTAATCAAATCTGTTACAAATTGAGTAAATTCATGACGTGCAATGAATAAATAGAAGAGAAAGTTCTTCTTAATGGCAAAATGGCAACTAATACCATATAAGGAACAAAGAGAAAATAATGCCATTTGGCAACCATCTGAGTAATAAGAGCCAGGAGCTAGCAATGGATCAGAAATAGTCTATTTATGTAATACTTAATATTTAGGTGAGTATTAATTATAAAGAGAAACAGTAACTCCACAGTGGCAGTATCTATCACTGGTGAACCCTGAACCTTGTATGCCTCCTGCTGTGGTGAGCTGAGAAGAGCACAGCGTCTCCTCTGATGGTAGAGCCAAGCCTGCACGCTCTGAGTCTCATTATGAGGTAGCACCAAAGTCAAATTGAGGGGCTTCTAAAACCAATAACCTATAATTATTAAAAAATACTAGGTCCATGAAGGTCAAGGAAGAACAAATGACCAGTTCTATGTTTCTAAAACCGAAGAAATATGACAGTAAGAGCAACAAGTAATCCTGGTTTGGATCCTCTGGCTATAAGGGACATAATTGGGCAGCTAGAGAAATCTGACTAGGGTCTTTGGGTGAAGGGTATATAGCAACTGTTTGTTGTTCTTGCAACGTTTTTATGAGTATGAAATTATTTTTAAAAAACCTCAAAAGTAACAAATTAACTTTTGTTCAAAAATTTTTATTTACTATAAAGACAAAACACCAAAATAGGTACAAATACTATAAAATTGGTTCAATGGGGTAAAAATTTTAATTAAAATATCTTGATATATTTAAAATAACAAAGGATACATTTAAGCCAAATTTTCTTAACCCAGAGATTTTTTTTTTTTTTTTTTTGTAACATTTGTTTACATAGTAAGGTGCTAATAGAAGTTAGCCCTTAAGCCCTGGAAGTCTTAGGAATCATAGTCACACAGCAAATATAATTTCGTTATGAAAGTGAACTTTGGTAGAAGAAAAATCTATAGGACACCTGAGGTAGTAGAAACTGGAATAAACAGCAGTAGACGTTATTTACAATTTGTGTACCAAATAACATTAAGAACACAAAAATAATTACACAATACAATTTTCAGTCCAGCTTTGATCCAAAGAAAATAGAATATCACATCACATTTGCATTGAAAACAAAACAAAAAACAAAACACCACAATTACCAGCAAGCTGAGGGAACTGCAAACAAACTCAAACACAGTGGATTGACATCTAGAAATAGTTTGAGTTTGAAATGTGGTGGGCATGGTGATCTACAAAGTAATACTGATTAGCTGAGGTTCCTCAGTTTATACAGTTTACATTTCTGTCAGACACAGTATTAATCTGACCAATGATCTTCCAGTACATAAAATGGCAAGAGTGCGTCCTTTAAAGCTTGCACTTGAGAGACTTGGAAACAATCTTATTAGAATTGTGAAAATTCTAAGTAGTCAAAAAAACCAAAAACAAAAACAAAATAAAAAAGCAAAGTACAACACATTTAGAGCTACCAAACTTCACATTTCTGTACTATTTTTAACTCTTCAAATATTGCCAATCTTCCAAAACAAAGGAATGTAAAATTTCACTAAGAAACACAATCACATTAAAAAAAAAAACTGCCTTTTAAAAATTATAGCAATATATCCCTGTAAACTTATCTTGTAACTTCTTTTACTTCCAATTTGTGTTGTACATTCTAAATGTACTCTATATAGCTTATTTAGTTTATCCTGAGTCTTTGAGATTAACCAATTCTATTTCACACTGGCTTCTGAAGAGTTAAAACTTAACATCTCAAAGTTGTGTTTAATAGTTAATCAGTACATGATTTAAAAGACTCACATACATGAAAGGATAAGAGAGCTACCATTTTCCTTCAGAATTCCATGCATCTGAATTCAACTCCAGATTAAAACCATTAAATAACTGCACAAAATTCAAGGAATTATTATGTAAATGAAATTCAATTTCACTTTTTTTTCTGAACACTTTTTCTAAGTTCAAAGCAAATTTATTTTTTAAAAATTTACTGATTAATAGTTGAGTAATTAGGTTACTTTTTCTTTATCAGCTATACCTAGTTTAAAGAGACGATGCATGGTGGAAGGAATATAGCAGTTACATTTTATAATCAATGGTAATGATGAATGATGGATTGTTATATAAAGAGTAAGTCTTAAATGGTGTGAAGTTTCCTACCATTTAGCGAAAGAAACCGAAACACTAAAAAAATTCAAATAAATTTCAAGGTAATCCTGTTCTTGATTGTAAGCTGAACAGTTGATTTTGTTAATTTATATTTAACTTGCACAGTAAAAGTAGTGACTGACTCAATATAGGCAGTACTTTATTATATTCCAATTAAAAATTTTTCAATCTGTAGTTAAAAACTCTTGCAATAGCAAGATATTTAATAAATTCTAATTCACACCTAGTTCTATTTTTTTTTTCTGGTTTGAAAAGATCACCTTTCCCTGAATATTAAAGAAAAATGAAGGTGAAATGAAAATACAGAACCATAATTTCCAAAAACGAAATGAATGGGCCAACAGTAAAATGCACATGAACCACAATTGCCCAGGCATTTAAAAAAAAAAAAAAAGTCAATTGTGGGTCAAGAAGATATCAACTTTAAAAAATTATGTATTTACTGCTACTCATACCATACTCTGACCTAAAAGAGGCAGATACTGATTTTTATAGCCAGTGACCAAAAAAAAAAGAAAAAAAAGGAACGGAATTGTAGAACCCCCTGCTTGTGATCACTATATGAAATGGAAGAATAACTGAAACATTAAAATAGATCCTGAGCCCCTCAGCTGCTAATATTGCTGAAAAAGTGCTCCAAAAAAATAAAATTATGCTTCTGTTTAGTCATGCAAACGTCATTGCTTTCCTGTTCACCTAGGGCCAGTTCGTTGAAAGGCACGGTTTACAGTTTCTGCACAATTTGTGGACTTTTGCATATTGAGCTTAGGTACAGATCATGATTTGTCAATCACATACTTAGGTAAGGGTTCCCCACTGGCCTCATTCATAGCTGTACAGTGGCATGAAGGCCAGTAGAATATCAACGTGGTTCCCCACGAAAGTTTTTTTTCCTTGTTGAGCATCCTGTCTCTATTACAGTTTTTATTTGTATAAATTGGCTACCATGTTGTACGGAAGACTGGATGCTTCAGTAGCTCTCTTGATGGAGGTCTGTCCTGAGGTTGAAGTTCTAAACAACGAAGAGCCACATCACGTAAGCCAGGAGACAGATGTGAAGGGATTGATGGGGCAGTAGTTGCACTAGCAATCTGTAAGAAAAAAAGCAATAGTGTTGAAATTTTCCACAAGTGCATTTTGGATATAGAAAACATGTGCATGAATTTCAAAACCTCTATCTATACATGATTGTCCACTGCATTAATTTTTATCTTCAATTTGGACACACCTTAATTCTTAGTATCAAACACCATGAAGAACTAACTTTTTGATAAATAAGTTAAAAATGAATCTAAATAATTTAAACCTACCTACTTCTAATCATAAGAAAACTTTCCCTTTTCCCACCCTAGTAAGTGAATGCTTTGGATTAAAATATACAGATATAAAAAAATTCTAAAAAGTCTATGATCTTATACCAAGATATACTTGACTGATATGTATACACCTTAAACACCAGAAAACAAAAAATATAAAACAAAAAATGACATCCATTCTCCCTATTTCCAAATGTAACCATTCACCTATTTCTCGTATTTCCTTCATGAAGTAAAAAAGTCAATATTTTCATACTTTAGATTTTCTTTATAAAATTCCTACAAAAGGGAACACTTTATACATTCTGCTCTTTTCACTTATTACTATATCTCATAGTACTTTGTAAATCAACACCACCAACTTGACCTTACTCTCAAAATGTGTACAGTTTTACATTGTGTGTATAATTTCTTAGTGTTGGGCACTTCCATTAGTTCAGGTTTTAGATTCTACAATTAATTGTGCAATGGATAATCCTGAACTTGGCAATTTCCTATGGATAAATTTAAGAATGGATTCCTAACAATGGGCAGAGCTGAATCAAAGAATAAGGGCATTTAAAATTTGGGCAGCTATTGCCAAATCACTCTCTTAAAAAAAAAAAGGTGCTATAGCAACTTAAACTAGCACAAAGAGGGTATAAAAGTATTTGAAAAAAGCTGTTTTTCTACATATTTGTGGCTTTCATAGATCTCAAAGTATTTACTGGGAGTTATGGAAACTGAAAATGTCACAGTATAATTCTCTTTAAATTCTACCTGTGAGGAAGAATGCAATGAAATCTGTTATAATATTGAACTGTGCCAATCTGAAACTCATTTCCATTTGTTTCTGGGATTTTAACAAAGCTCTAAAAATAACAGCAAACTTCACACTGATCCTAGCCATGAATATTTTATTGAGTAACTTCTGTATAAGACTCTGGAAGGGAAAAAATGAATCAGACATGAACAGACTCAAGGAGCGTCAGTTTGAAAAAGATAAGATGGGAACATAAATAACCACAATAACAACAAAGGAAGGATCAGAAACAGACATATACAGAAATGCTTTGGGAGTCTGGAGAAGGAGCAGATGTGGGCAGAGGTGTAAAGAAACACCCCGGCAGCGGGTGCAGCACTGGCTGTGGGCCTTAATGAGATTCAGCATCTGAACCACAACAGAGAGGGGACAAGGGAAGCATAAAAGAACAGAGGGAAAGTGAGAGAGAACTCCAGAAAAAGATTGTTAGAGAGGTGACTAGGGGTGGGGAGAACTGAAGGAAATTATGGCAGGTGAGGGGGTGACTGTGGGCCAAGTGGTTGACTAAGTCCCAGAGGTACTTCTGTTTATCTTTATACTACTCCCATGAAATAAGTCCTATTATTGTATCCATTTGACAAAGAAGAAAACAAATGGTAGACACAAAAAGTTATTTTCCTATGGTCACATTGGCATTGAAAGTCAGAGTTTGAAACCAGGTCTGTATGATTTCAAGGCCTATCACTTTGTCTACTCAAAAGATAAAAATCTCAACCAGTACACTAGTCTACGTTGGGAATTTGGGAATTGAAAAAAAGGTAAATAGGATTTGATAATTGATGTAAAGTTTTTAAATAAAGAAAACAGTAAATTAGATTTTTTTAAAAAATTCTAATTGTGCAAAATACATGAAGAACTTCAAGTTTTTAAAGTGACAGGTATATGTGCATATTTTGCCTGGGGACAGTGATTCAGTGTTTGTAAGAGACTTTACAGACCATAACAACCTGGAACACTGGAAATGGCTGTAAATGCCACATAAAAGTAGTTTAAAGTGACAACACTATCTAAATTTCTGGAGATATATACATATACATTTATTTCAAGGAAAATATGTCTTTATGTTAGGTTGACAGGGAGAACCCATGAGAATTTAAGTCACAAAGAAGTAATTGCTATCTCACAATTACCTTAAATATCAAAGCAAGGTGATTGGAGTGTTTTTCCGCATTCCAAGGTGGTTTTGCACAAGCCATTTCTATAATAGCACAGCCAACACTCCATACATCACAGCTCCTACCATACTGCTGACCTCTCAGGACCTAAAATAAAGCAGAGTTAATTTGGTAACATGATTCATTTAAAAAAGAGAAAACAATTTTGTAGTTCTGGATTCTAAATTCTAAGTTTACTTCAGAGCAAAAAATAAATAAATAACAATTTCCTGGCCTGCCTGATACGTCATTAATAAGCTTAATATCCTATGTACACACAAAAATAAACATCACAGAATTCCAAAGCAGCACCCCATGATCTTAGTAAATGATGGGGCAAGTAGGCAACACATAATCACTGACTATGAACATGAAGAACTGTGCATACAGTTCTTGAGAGGCCGAGTTCAGTGGAGCAATGCTCTATAGTAAATGTCTACTACTGACAAGGCCTGCCTCTGGGCTCATGTCCCCTGGGAATAGATAATTTAAAAATATTTCTATTATGGATACTTTGGGTTTATTACAAAACAACTACTATAAACTAACCCACAGTACTTTGCCTTTAAGCAAATCTATTAAAAATGTTTGTCATTTTTTTCAAGACGAAGGAAAGGACTGAAATAAGGGTCTGAAATGTAGATATTGTTAAAATCTTTTTTTAAGGGCCCTGGAGTTCTAAGCATATACTGGATACCACTGTGAAGTAATGTGGTATAATGCTGTTACATAGACCTCCAAAATATTTTCTTTCATCACAAAGCTACTTCTCACCTCAGGTGCCATAAATGCAATTGTCCCCAATAACTGTCCCTGAAACTCTCCTGCACCAGTTCCTTTTGAAGCCAACCTGGCTGCAGCTCCAAAATCTGCAATTCTGAGCCTCTGACCTGTGCTGTCGATTAGCAAATTGGCACCTGTCAAGAGAAACAGGAAATGACCTTGTATGTTAAAAACAAAAGTAAGGACTGATTTAAAAAACCCAGTACTAAGAAAAAAGAAAGGAATGGACTACATGTCAGAGGTTAAGAGAAAGATCCTCTCTTCTCCCTTCACTTTATTTACACACAGATCTCTCCAGTGTAAATAAAATCTAAAACCTCAGAAAGAAAATCTGGAAAAAAACAATTAAGGCATACAAAGAAAAAGGACAGAGACTTGGTGAACCTTTCAAAAACCTTCAGTATAATGATTTCCAACAAAATCTTTCTCCAAAATTCAAATTTTAGTATAATTTACATTGTAAGACAAAGTTTTGTGAAAACATTCTGGTCTAGACCAATTTAAATTTATGCTCATTTCATAATTCTAGCTTAATAAAAAAATTAATCTTTTTTTTTTTTAAACTGTTTTTCCTTTAGTTTCAGCATATGAGAGAAAACACATGACACTTGTCTTTCCACGTTTGGTTTATTTCGCTTAACATAATGCTCCCCAGTTCCACCCATTTTCTTGCAAATGACCTAATTTCATTCTTCTTTCTGGCTGAGCAAAACTTCCTAGTGTACATATACACACACCACATTTTCTTTATCCATTCATCTGTTGATGACATGTAGGCTGATTCCATAACTTGGTTATTGTGAACTGTGTTGCCATAAACATGGGTATGCATATATCTCTGTACACTTTAATTCTTTTGGATAAATATTGATGAGTGGAATACCTGGGTCATATGGTGGTTCCACTCGTACTCTCTTGAGGAATCTCCATACTGATTTCCATAGTGGCTATATATTCCCACCAAGGTGTATGAATTCCTTTTTCATTGCATCCTCACCAGCATTTGTTATCTGTATTTTAATAGCTACCATTCTAACTGCAGTGAGATGAAATCTCAGTGCAGTTTTGATTTATATTTCCCTGATGGCTAAAAATGTCAAAAATTTTTTTCAGATAACTGTAAGCCATTTGTATTTGTTATTTTGAGGATTTTTTTTTTTTTTTTTTTTTAAATTCACTTTCCCATTTAGTGAATGAGTTATTTGGAGGTTTTGGTGTTTTTTGAGGTCTTACTAGATATTAATCTATTGGAAGAGTAGCTGACAAGGACTTTTTCCCATGCTGTAGGTTCTCTCTTCAGAGTGTTGTTTCCTTTGCTGTGCAAAAAGCTTTTAAATCTGATGCTATCCCACGTACTAAGTCTTGTTATTATTTCCTGAGCTACATGAGTCTTACTGAGGAAGTGCTATCTATGCCTACACATTAGAGTATTTCCTCTAGGTATTTTTTTTAATCAATTGCAAAGTTTCTGATCTTATTCCTAAAAATTAACCTTATAACACTCCTTCAGTAGATAGGCTATGTGAAGTACTAAAGAGCCTCATTATGAAATACCAAAGTTGTCCTTTATAAAAATGAACTAAACCACAAAAGATCTGAGTTTTACTTAACAGAAGTTTATGATATACCAATTACTTTAAATAAAACAAATAAAACCAAGAAAAGAAACTTCCTGGGAGGCAGCACAATATGAAGCCAACAAGCCAAGTGATCAGGAGACAGCCTTTCTTGTACTGACATTTCTATAAAATGAGCGCTGCAGATTAAATGACCTTAAAGCTCCTTTAAGTTCTAGTATTCTAAAAATTTAAGTTATTCAGAGAAACAATCCCATAGTTAGAAACTTAGGTTAGAAATCATCAACAAATGTCCAAATTTTAAAATGACATTTATTTTCTTAGTGGAAAATAAAAGAATTCTTACCTTTGACATCTCTGTGAATGATCTGGTTTTCATGGAGGTAAGAAAGGCCACGAAGTAACTGTTCAGTGTAGTTAATGACTACTGATTCCTTGAAGGCTCCATATTTACTCAGCAGATGAGCCACAGATCCTCCTGTAACACAAACACAAAACAGTAATGATTATCAAAAACTTAGGCCAGAATTAAGATTGTCTATTACACTTTGATTTCTTAAGCTTGAAAGGCAAGAACTGATATTCTCAACTGAAATTTTCAATTCATATCTTACTATCAGAAGTGAAACTGACAAAACAAAATCAAACAACAAAACAAAACAAAAAACCAAGGTGAAACTGACTTCCTAGATCATCTCAATTTTTATAGAATCCTCATGAAGCTAGTTTACTGGAAGCCCAAGATTTCAGAAAGCTTTAGAAGTTAATTTTGAATCGTACCACTTCTGAAACATACAGTTTACTCCTCTATCTTCTCAATCAAAATATACAAATGCCTTTATTACCAACTTAAGTAAGCAACGCTAACATGTTATTTAGCAGAAGGTAAAGAGACCAGAAGGAGAAGCCAAAGGCCCAGTCATGTCCTACCATTTACTAGCTCTGACCTGGGGCAAGTCACAAACTCAATGACTTCATTTGGAAGTATTTACAATATTATTGTTCTTCAAAATTAAAAAAAAATCTAAGAATTCTTGTCTAAAATATTATAATCTATCAAATATTATGTATTTCAATACGTTCAAAAATATTTATGCTGCCATAAACGCTGTGGACATATAAGTAGCCACTTAAGTATATAACTTACAATGTAGAAACATTAGAATAAATTAAAATACATAACATAAAAATAATTAATTAAAATAAAAATGTAATGTCTTTATTCTGAGATAATAGTCTAAAATATCTACATATTATTTTTAATTCTGTTTATAGATTAAGACGACTCCAAAATTTATATAAAGAAAGCATATAAGACAGTGAAATAATTATATGTTTAACCTAAAAAGTAGATCAGAGATAAGCAAATCTAAAAAATCAACACAATCTATTCACCACATCTTTAATCACTTATTTTACTGTATACTCCGTATAAGAGAAAATAAAATTCAGTCTTTGTTCAAGATGACAAGGTTGAACGAGTTTACCTGTACTAATTTTTTAAAAATATAACTTGACTTCTATATTATGTGAAAATACTTCTTAAATCTGTTTAATTAATGATGGCCACCCAGAAAAATATGGATCATATACAAACCAAATTTAAAAAAAAAGATGATTCTTATAAACCAATACTATATAATCACTTAAAAACACTGGTAAAAACTTAAAGGTAGAGGTAGTATTTTATTATATTAAAAAAAAAAGATAAAACAAAGTAGTTATAATTTATGTTAGTATGTTAGAATTGGTTTGCTTTTAGAAACTCAATCTATTTAAAAAAATAAGTGTTCATTACACTGTTTTCCCTAAAGAGCAGAAATGTAAGTCTATGCATTATTACTCATAATTTAATATATGAACATACCTGCCATCCATTCGATAAAGAGATTGTAATTGCTCTTCTCACATGTGGCTCCTAACATCCTAATGATGTTCGGATGATTCAGATGGCTCATCATTCTTATCTCTTCTCTTAATGCTTCAACAACTTCTTCTTGCTCAGAAGATGTGTTTCTGACATATGTCACCTGTTTCAAACATGTTCACAAAGATATGAATTCTGGTGTTTCTCTTTAGTTCCAACAACCTGATCTAAAATGAACAAATCCAAATTAGCTTTTACATTAATAGCAGATGGCATTTGTACTCACGAGTGCAGTGTACTTTAAAAAAAAAAAAAAAAAAAAAAAACAACTAGCCAAGTCAAACTGTTTTAGAAAATAAGAATGTAGCATAAGCAGCAATGAAATATCAGAAAAATGAAACCAAAACTAAAACCAAAAACAAGAAAAATACTCTTAAAACCAAACCAAAACCAAAAACCAAACTAGGATACAGTCAAGATACTGATTGTTTGAAGACAACATTAAGATAAGAAAAGCTTGATCAGGGAGAACAATCAATATGATTTAAAAATGAAAGCTTTATTATTTTCACATCTTGATAAGTATGCTCATATGAAAAGCAACCCACAGAAAGCAAGGCAGTATTATACTAGTATACTGCTGAACAGTATTGAAACCATACTTCTAATAATCATAACAGGCAAAAACAAATTAAAAACCAAAACAAAACATCCATAAGGCCCATCTTACTATATCTTACAATAACCAGGCTTCAACTTCTAATAAAGAATTCATGAGTGTGTAGTGCTTTGGTAACATCTATTTTAAAACTTAAGATTTCTCAAAGCTTAAATTGCTAAAGTATATAAATGCATGATTACATATGTCCTTTATTCACTTATCCATGGTTCATTTTATAATTTGAATAATTTCACTTATGTGCTCACTAGATATTTACCTGTTTAACAGCCATTAAAGTTCCAGTTCCCACATCTTGTGCCTGATAACAAGAAGAAAATGCTCCAAGGCCTATCTGCTGACCTTTCAGCCATTCAGTGTCTTCTCTGTAAGGTTGTTTTGCTTTGGTATGTCCTGGTAGAGTCTCTAGTGTCTACATATTAAATGAAAGTAATTCTTTTTACTGTTAAATTAAAAGAGCAAGATTGTATAAAATTAACCTGGCAAAATATCATTCTTGTTTAGTCTGGTTTCCCAAATCACCTATAAAATTCATTTCTGAGCAGACAATGCTAGCAACCAATGTTTATTAAAGAAGTGATTACCATTACAGAATCAACCAGAAATGTTTCTGAAATAGGCCAAACTATTGCTCTTTAAATGATACAGACATTATTAATGTATACTTAATAACTGTATATGAACAACCTGTTTGCAATGACAAAAACAGCATTTCTGAATTATATTTTAGCATGCCCCAAGGAAACTCTAACCTCTTAAAGATGATACTTACATCCTGTTGAATAATGATAATATCTTCTCCATTTTCAACCTGTAGTTGAGGAACTATGGGGAGGGCATCCTGAGACGCTGACATTGCCATGGCAATTGCTAAAGCTTCTTCTTCTTCAGCTTCCATTTTTTCTTTGCACTTTTGATTATGATTCACATCATCTTTGTAGGTATCATCACTTTCAGACTTTTCAGGAGAGAGGACAGCAACTTCTGACTTAAAAGTGACTGTTGTGTCACTTGAAGGCATAGATGCCTCAAGAAGGTCTTCAATACTGGAATTGAGTTCTGTATTGACATCTAATCTGCATTTCTCCTCTACTGGTGTGAACACTGTCTCGTCACTGGGTATAACAGCATTACTACTATTGCTGCTACTGCCAAAGCTGTCATCACATTTGGAAGTACTGTTTAGATCAAGTGTCATGCTATGTTTTGAAACATCTCCCTGTTTACTTGTATTACCAGGGGTGGGTCGAGATGGCTTTGGCCTGTGTATGTTACTGGAGGGTAAGGGTCTTGACTGAGTAAAGATTGGAGAAAGTTTATCTGAGTCTTTGTTTTCAGAACAGTTTCTCTGGAATTGTAGAGAAAACTTGCGTTGTGTTTGAGGAGATGCAGAAGGTATTTTGCAGGGAATAAAACCCTGAGGTCTATGCTTAGAGGCATCTGTTACAGAGCCAGCTGGTACAGATGGGGCAGATGAAGAAGGGGTCGATGAGCCTGGGAACATTAATTGGGAATGATGAGACAAAGGAGAGGAGTTCAAACATTGACTGTGGGGTCTGCCTTTTGTTTGAACCATTGGCTTTGGTTGCTCCATTGTTGTAGTGGAACTGTGAAGTCCTACTGAAATGCTGGCCAGTCTGTCAGAAATGTCCTCTGAACTGGCACTCAATTTTGTAGCACATAATCCTTTTCCAGTTTTCTCTAAATGTACTGTGAGCTCAAGGGAACTGTTCTCTGTGGCTTCTGGATAGCTATTAGAGGCAGATGCTTGCAAAAAGCTGTCCTGTCGACCATCCAAGGTGTCTTCTATGCCCAGCTGGATGGCCTCAGCAATTTCCACCTCATCAGCAATAGCCATCAAACGACGACGCATCCTGGTGAAGTGAGTGGAACTGGAAACATTCAGCATTTCTAACAGTTTTGAAAACACATGGGGTACTGCGGTAACCATTCTTGCAGAACTCAAATATATCCTTCGAGAGAGTTTACCAACCATCGAGTGGGAATTATCAATGGACTGCAAGGCAAAGGTTAAGAGGGACAGCAGCTTCTTATACCTGAAAGGAAACAAAACAAAACACATTCAATTTCTAGACAAGTTCAATGACTATAAAGGTATGGAACATTAAAAAAGGTAATTTATAGATTGTAAACTTCAAAAATAATTTTGTATGAGAGATCTTTAACTTTTTAATTAAATAGCTTAGACTTTAGGATTCTATGCCAGGCAAATATTAGGGTACAAGTAACTTATCTATGCTTTTAAATTTCTGAGCTTTTCATAAATCTAAACTATACCATTCTTGGAGAGAATGTGGGGTAAGTATGAAGAGGAAAGTCATATATTTGCACAGGAAAAAGAATCACCTGATTTCAACAGGCTCAACTTGTGAAACATCAGTACTGACAATGTGAGGATAAAATTCAGCAGGAAATTCCAATAACAGTCTATCAATAAGACAAAGGCGGCCCAGGAGTTCCTGCCAGTTGTTCGATTCAGTTTGGTTTCCAAGAATACAATTTAAGACATAATCCACACCACCAATACCAATGGATCCTACAAAAGGAAAGTAAAAATAAAATGACTTAAAAAGAGTGATATGAAAGTCTAAAACAAAATATGATTGAATGGTGTAAGGCCAATGAGAATACCCTGGATTATATTAGTTTTAAGAATTTCTCCTTGATAAACTCATATTTCTAACCTTAGCTGGGTGAATCAATTTACATAATTACTTCAAAATCCTGTAATGGACCCAGCAGAGACTAACTAGGTCAAGGAAAATGATAAAACATGCTGCATTAATTTTAAGTAATAAAATTAAGTAATAAAGTTATTACCCGCTTTAAGTATTTCTCTACCAACTGCCAGCTCTCCTGCTTGGCCTTTACACAATTCCAACAGTGTTGATATGGACAGCTGACTTGTACGGCTAAAAATGAAAGGAAAGCAATATAAATTCAAAATATATATCAATATCAGAGTAGTAATATAAAGCCTTGTGATAAAGCAGAAAAACAATATTTTCTGGAGTGTTTACTTTTCCACCACTAAAATCACATTAACAATACTACTCCAAGTAATAATAATTATTAGTAGGTATAATTCATAAATTTATCACATACATTAAGCATAGAATCTTCAGTACTGGCTCTTAGAAAGCAAGTACTTATTTAAAAATCAGATAAAAGGTTTACTTTCATATACTATCTTTTTAAAATAAAAATGAATGCAAATTATGACTTTTTTATCTTTGAACTTTCATTAAGAATTTTGAAAATTAAAAACAAAACCTTGCTATCCAAAACCCTTGTGTTCTCCAGACTGAGAATATCATAAAACCCAAATATCATAAGATCCCTTTATAGTATTTCTTATGTTTTCAATTATTCCAATCCACCAAGTGAACAACCTGACTTTAGAATTTCAGAAAGTGAACAACAAATGCCACAAAACACCCACATTCTCAGAAAATTACCTATTCTAATATTGAAGACTCACATGATTTTTCCTATGCATTTTCAAGTTATTTGTTAATTTGCCAATGTTTTTCAGGTATTTCCCCAAGCAAGTAGAAAACCTCTAATACTTTCAATCTGGAGGCTTATGTGAGAAAACAATGGAACCAAAACAGACTTCGTGGGATAAGAATCTAGGCACAGCTAGGTACTTCTTTTGTGTGAGTGTGTTTGTGTGTGTGTGTGTGTATATATATAATGCTGGGTATTGAACCCAGGGCCTTGTGTATGATAGACAAACACTCTACCACTGAATTACATCCCTAGCCCTAGGTACCTAGTTTTTGAGACCCTCTGTAAACTCAGATAATTTGGGCAGGAAGACAAATATTGAATTGGCAGAGATCTGGGTGCAACAAGAAAAGCAAAATAAGGGAGATTGAATACTTCTTGCAATCCAGGATCTGCTGGGATGTAAAAATGAGCAGTTCCAAACAGTCATGTACTATAGCTATATTTATTAAATGAAAGTGATTTTTCCTACCATTTTATAAAAGGGGAAAACAAAGAGAACCACTGGTCTGAAAAAAGCATGGCTTATACCCATTTTTACTGTACCAAACTTCACATTTTTCTCTCCAGTTAGTATTATTCTCATTTCTTATTAATTTTTAAAGATATTGCAGGAGAACATAAAATCACAAAAACTAAACCATCATAAATAAAGTAAAATTCCATTACAATGAAAATAATGGAAGAGGTTCTTTTTTGATTATGAAAAGAGGGCATTAGTAGGTATAATGATGTCACTGGTGCCTATCCTGTGTAACTCTTTCTCTAAAATGAGATTACACACACACACACACATATATATATATATATATATATATATATATATATATGTGTGTGTGTGTGTGTGTGTGTGTGTGTGTGTCTGCTCTTGTTCTTATCACTGGACTTCAGATTATGAAGTTCTGTAAGAGAAGCAATCACAATACAACTTGTGCAGGTCATGCAGTTTTTTATGCTAGCTTTTACTTGTTATTAGATCCTTTTCCTAGACCTTAAGAGTCTTCTAAGTTTCTAAATTTTAATTTCAAATCTTACATTAGAAAACAATATTCAAAGACTCACTTAACAAATATGCACCAAATATTCTATGAGGTGTGAGGCTTGTGCTAAAAACTTTTTTTTTTTTTTTTGGTTTGCTTTTTGGTACCAGGGATTGAACCCAGGGGTGCTTGATCTCTGAGCCACAGATCCCCGCCCCTTTTTATTTTAGTTTCTTATTTCAGGTTCTCACTAAGTTGCTTAGGGCCTTTCTAAGTTGCTGAGGTTAATCTTGAATTTGCTATCCTCCTGTCTTGGCTCCCAAGCCACTGGGATTACAGGCATGTGCCACCCCGCCCAGTTTGAAGCTTTTAATACACAATGATTTGAAGTGGTGTGAGAAACTTTTCATACAATGGTTTGAAGTGGTTCATCAATAAGGTCTTACCTATTGGCATCTGCACACTTGACTAGGATGGTGTCTACAACTGGCCGGAGAAGTCTCTGAAGTTTGATTCTCTCTGCCAAACTGTGGCAAGGAGTATATACCAGCATGGCTCTTAAAGTTTTCTAGGGAAAAAAACCTGAAGGTCAGTTTAACTACATTTAAAAAGCATCAGAGACAATGGCCTAATCTGAGACAATATGAGCTACCAAATAAATCATGATAGAAATGAATCATAACTCAAAGTGGTGTTAATTAAAATGGTGTTTAAGAAACAATGATAGGTATCATATATTCAACATTCTCACAATGTGCTAGGCATCATGGTTAGGTTTCTTCTACATAACATCACTCCAAATCTAACAGTTCAGATTTTTTAATTATTTTATAGGTGAGCAAACTAAAGTTTAAGAGAGACTTGTTAAGTTTAAAAGAAGTTAAATAATTTTACTAAAGTCATACTGCTAGCAAATGGGAAAATAGATTGTGAATCAGGTCTCTATATCTTACACTAGACCCAATTTAATCAATACATTAGTATTCCAGTTAGTATGATAAATGATGAAGTCACTCAATTCTGACCCCAAACATCATACTGTATTACTTCTCAAGAAGATTTATTAGGCACAAGTGGTAATGCAAGGAAGAAAAAAGACTATGAGAGGTAGCTTAGAGGCTGAGTTTTAAAAACATACTAGTTAAGAACTATTCTACAACAATGATTCTGAACTGGAGGCAATTTTGAGCTCCACTGCACATTTGCCAATGCCCATAGACAGTCTTGCTTGTCATCACTAGGGGTCTGAGGGGGTAGAGGGGTGAGGTGGGTTTGCTACTATATCTAGTGGGAACAGGCTATGGATGCTGCTGGACATCCTAATAGTGCACAGGAAAGCATCCCTGGTGCTCTCCCATTCCTCACAAACAATTATGTGGCCAATGGCAACAGTGCTGAAGTTGAGAAACAATGGTCTAAGAAATATACACTTAAAGTTTTTGTCTGTAAAATCCTCTTTATTGCTCTCATGAAAGACAACTGTTTAACAGGTTAAACTAGAAAAACAGCTTGGTGTCTATGTCATGGAACCCTCTTCTGTGAAAAGCTTCCTGAATTTCCATATAATATTTATAAAAAGTCAAGCAAAATGTTTATCATAAATAAATTCTCCTTGAAGAATTAATCTCCAAAAGATCAATTATAAAAATATATAATTTTTCTATAATGTTTTTTCTTTAGTGATAGCTATAAGTTTGATAATTTAAACCTTAACCATTCAAATATTATTTATTTGTGTTGAAAATATAAAACAATTATAACCACTTAAGATTTTAAAAAAATGAATGAATTTGCTCATTATATTTTTTATTTATTTATTTTGCAGTGTTGGGGCTCAAATCCCAGGGCTCGCTCATTAAACGCACTTGCAAAATACTTGAAATATATTATTGTACAATAACATAAATAGAATTTTCAGTGCCTTAATGGAAGGAATGCCACTTGACAAACATATTACTTGACAAAGATTAATACGCAAAATTAAGTAAAACATGAAGAATCCCTAGTAAATGCAAAGGAAAGATATTTTTCTTAATCTGTATTGACAACATAAAAAAAATCAAAGTAACTTTGATCACTTTTCAATCCCACAAAACATTTTTAATTGGTCATGGGTGAGGCAACCACTGAGGAAAACACGAGCAGCAAGACATTGTTATTTGGGGGGAGTAAGCAGCATATAAAGGAAATTTTAACAGATTAAAACCAATAAAATTCAAATGACAGATAAATGAAAAATTATAAATTCCTGGGATTATGAAGTAAAAGTAGAACTTGGATTTTCCAAAATTAAATCAGGTAAAATACTTTTACTGTACCTGCCTCCCAATCCCCCTGCCTTTTCCTTCCAGAGACACAGATTGACTTAGGAAAGCAGACACACATTCAAAAATGAGGACCAGCTATAGACAAAAAGACAGTAATTTTATTATATCTTTAAAAGAGTATCTATGAAAGAAAGAAAAACCATAATGATATGTTGTGGAATAAAACTACTTACTAAAGCAGCAACGTACACTTTGTAGACAGGGTCAGCACAGACCATCGATAAGACGCTGCAGCAGGCCTCCACCACATCTCCTGAGATGCTGGCCTGGGAAGACCCGCTAGTGGCTCCAGCATTTGGGCTGCTTCCACCACTGCCCCCAGAATTTCCAGTGCTCTCCCCATTGGCCAACAGCAGGGCCCCACTAACATCATGGGAAAGACGCCTGAGAGCCATCTCTCTTACATTCCAGTTTCTAGAAAATAAGCAGCCAACGAGTTCCATTCCAAACACCTATATCAAACAAACACAATGTGAAGAAAAACTAATAAATCCAATGTGTTGAGTTAAACATAATTTTTTGATTATTAAAGAAAAAATAGTCATTTTTTTTATTCTTCATTATACTACTCAATTTCAATATGCCTAGTTTTTTAGAAATCCTAAGGAGGAATTTTACACTTGAGTCAAGGTAATTATTAAGTCATTAACACCTATTAATTCAAGGAAAATGATGAGTAAACTCCATAAATTAGATGGATATACTTGTATTTTTAGGCCTGTACCCTTCGTGTTTAACAAAAACAAAAAGCCCACACTAAAAAAATTGTGAAGAATTCCAACTTTATATTCATATTAAGGTAGTTTACAAAGAAACAACTGGAGCAAGATTTTTAAAAAAGCCAAGTCAAGAAAGGAACTAGAGTGGAGGTTTCAAAACAGAGTACTTCTCTTATAGATGACTGTAGTAAGTCAAAATAATTTATTTGAATTTGTCTTATACAAAACGGTTGAAAAAATATGTGGGTCTAGGCAAAACAGGAACTATGATGAATGGAGAGGAAAAACCAAATAACTAAAGAAAGAATGCGTGTGTTTAAATCAGTAATGATGCACTCAGAATTATGAATGTTGCTACAGTCCTCACTACCATGCCTCCAAAGCTGCAGAATAAAGAATCCCTAAAAAAGGAAAAAGGTAAATGGCATTGACATTATTAACCAATTGGCTAAAAATAAGCTTAACAACTAAGATAATTTATTGTGTGAAAAATTTCTACATATTAGAGATGAAAACACAATTTTGGGAAAAGCAGACCATGACATACTTATTTGTATGTGTCCTTTTAAAAAGGGACCTAAATAAGAATAAACCAAAAAGAATATAAACTTCTGGCACTCTTAAGTAGAATACCACTGTCTTAAGTTTTAACTCAGCCTATAACATTCTTAAAACAAAACAACTAAAATATATAACCTAGACCAAACCAAATCTTAAGCAAAATAAACTAGACTATGGCCTTGAAAGAACAGCATCTAATAGCTTAGAATCAACATGAGATTTCTTTATGGGATCCTGAAGGAGCAGGTCAAGATCTGTATTAAATATCATTAGTGAACTAGATAAAAGAATTGAGATGCCTTATTAATTTTGTGGATTTTATTAGATAATAGGTTGCTAACATGCTTAGAAAAGAGAATTGCAAAGCCGCAGAACTATAATGGTCATAAAAAGAAAAGGGAAACAAGTCCTAATGATGTAAAAGCTTAATGAGTTAATACATCTGTTCACAAACTTAACAGTATTCAACAGAATTTAACAAATTATAAAAATTATATATTTACTTCATTATTGTTTACTGAAGACACTGATTTTGGGCCCCACATTTTTTTCCAAAATAGCAGACTAAGCACTCAACAATCAAGAAAATCATGAAAGACCAAGCAACCAAAAACCTTATTTACTGAGGATGAAGAAGCAATCATAAGAGAAGGTAAAAGAATGAAAACTGTCCTTATAAATAAAATGCTTATTACAAAGTAATTACCACAAATTTTTCTTATTCATCCACTAAGCAAGCACCCATTTTTATATGCTGGTAGGATCTAAGGAGAAATTGAGTTTCAATGGTAGCAAATAAGAAATCTTTGGCAGGAATGAGGATTAAACACTGAAAAAAGCTAGCACTAAAGAGTTTCAGTTTCTACTCTTGGGTAGACTTTTTATCTGTTAGTTCAGGATGAGATGTTTCCAGATACAAAATCTGAACCTAGAAAGAAATTTTTAAGTCTAGCTGTATTAATACCAAAGTAAAAGTAAAATTCTCAATGGACTGAGTCATAATGAAGGCAAGCAAAATATTTGATAAGTTATAAAAGGGTAAAGAAAGGGGACAAACACATTAATTGATCTGCAAATCTTCTTTGAGAAATGAAGAATGAAGAACTATTTACCTGAATCCATGGCTCAGCTAAATCCTTATAAGCAGGAGGGATCTGCTGAGTTCCATAATGAGTAAGGTTAAAATTGCTCTCTTGATTCCTTCTTTGTGATCCAGCCAAAGGTTGCTGCTGTGTGGTTTGCTGTTGTGCAGCACGCAGGGAAGAAGGGGAATCCACGGGACTTGACAACTCATGGCTAAAATGAAAAATACAAAGTTTGCTAAAAAATATTAACAGATTAACAGATCACTTTGATAATATTTTTACTTTTATTTATCATATGCAAATCATTAATTCAAAATTACTACCTGTAGAAATCGTGGGATCTCCACTTAGACCTACAAAGGGGACATATTAAAGGTTCTCTATTTCTTCTACATTCTTCTGCCCCTAAAAAAATAAATAAATACAGAATACTTACAAAAATGTAAATGTATTAAGTATTTATATGTATTTATATGTCATAACTGTTCATAACAGTACAGGATTTCTATGGAAGGAACCACCAACAATTATTGGAGTATCTGAAAGCAGGCAAGCATAGCAGTTTAATTATTCTGATGCCTTTGCAAATGCTATTTTATTAGTCAAGACAACATGTACTTTTCTCACTATTGTTCAAAATGTTCTGCCCCATTTGATTACAAGGTTGGGTAATTCTGGGCCTTGCTTTGATGTTCCCCCTTTCTGTAAAGCTTCCCCAGACCTTCTTTCATGTACACCTTCCAGGTGGGAACTCTGCACTCCTTCTTGTATCACACGATATTGGATGTCATTGCTCAGACAGATCAATTCTAACAGATCCTAAACTCTAATTTGTTGAAAACTTTACATATGGCCTAGGAACACTTTTTCCCCCGTTCTCATTAATTTCCCCACAACTCATCATACAATTCCAAATAAAATGGTTAGCTGGAGAGTAACTGTGTTGAGTAAGCACAGGGATAAAGGAGGCACCTACAGATGGACATGCAGTGGTGGTGCAGCTTGTTCCGGCAGCCATCTTCACACACTGTAAGACTTTCTTCATCAAGCATGCCCAACAAGCAAATAGGACACATTTGCTCTTCTTCATCCTTTATGCTATAAGGAAGGAGGAGCAAAAGTACTAAGTACAAAAGAATATAAGACAGAATTAATGCAATATGCTAATTAGAATTATGCTTCTTTAAAATACAAACACAAAATAATCAAGAGCATCTTCTATTAACTATTTCAGGGATAATTATTTCTCCTATTAGCTTAGACAAATTTCAAATCAGATTCCATATATGTGTATTTACAGATTGTAAGTGTGAGTTAATTTGTCCTTGCCACAAATACAACTCAACACATGAACTGCGATCTGAAAAACAGCACTTGTGGGCTGGGGTTGTGGTTCAGCAGTAGAGTGCTTGCCTAGCAGGTGTGAGGCCCTGGGTTTGATCCTCAGCACCACAAAAATAAATAAATAAAATAAACTACAACTAAAAAATAAATATTAAAAAAATAGCAATGTATCCCTAAAATGTGGCTACTGTGCCTTTTGAATAAACAAACTGCTATAAGGTTTGACAAAATGATATTTAAAATAAAATAAAAGTAAAAGCAAGATGCAGACCAAAATATATGGCATGACTTTGTATTTGTTTAAAAAAAAAAAAAGAGAGGGAAATAGTGTGTGTGCACACATGCACCTGTTTCTCTCACACTGAATAAAAGGAAGAATTTATTTCCTTGTGTTATATAATTTAAAAAAGTTGTACAAAGCTTAACAATAGTTACGTTGTGTGCAGTTGGTCTGGAGAGAAAGATTTTGCTTTATTTTACAAATAAAACTACATGGTATCAGCTTCCTTAGAACTAGATCTAGAGACATGTTGCATTTTAAATGTACATAACCTTTCATCTAGACTTCTAAGAAACGATGAAACAAAAATAGAGATATGTGTGAGAATATTCACTGCAATATTATTTAACATAATGAAAAAATGAAATCAATCAAATGGACATCAAAAAGAAGTTAAAAAAAATTATGCTCAACCAGACACTATAAATCTTTCAAAAGGATAGGAAAGATGCAGAATGAGATGGACATCATTACCCTAAGTACACATATGAAGACACGAATGATATGACTCTATGAATAACCAGAGACAGGAAAAATTGTGCTCTACATGTGTACTATGAATTGAAATGCATTCTGCTGTCATGTATACAAATTATAATAAATAAATTTTTAAAAATAATGCACAATATATTATAGGGTGAAGAAAAAGGTAACATGACAAAATTCTAGCATGTACAAAACGTTTATGGCCGAATATGTCAAAATTGCAACATAAAATGGGCAATTATGTTGTATTTATTTGAATATTCCTAATATATGAAGTGCTTTTAGGAAATCAGTAAGAAAAATACTAATAACTCAATAGTAAAATGAACAGAGATAAAAGGCAATTAAAATAAAAAATACCAATAGCCAATACAAACATGAAAAGAGAAGTACAAAATGCACGTTAACGAAACCATACATTATTTTATTATTATTTTTTGGATTGGTAAAAATTAAATAGATTGGTAACATTTGGCAATGGTAACATTTGTCAGGATTGGTAACATCCTGACAATGGCATAGGTAAACAGGTTGTCATATACACTGGTGGTAGGAATAAAAAATAAAATTTCTGAAAGGTAATTTTGTTATTGATCCTTAATATATTCAAATGTATATATTCATGACTTAATATATTCAAATGTATATATTCATGATCTAAAAGTTCTATTTTCTAGGATGCTGTCTTACAGAAATATTTTAAGCATGTGAGCAGAAAAATAGAAAAATTTGTTGCACTTAGTAGACAAATAATTACTGGTATACTTAATATCAATCAATCAAGGTAATGATAAATTAAATTATGGTGTATCAACAACATAAAAAAAGGAGTGTGTACTATTTTTTTTTTTTTTTGTGGTGGGGCTAGGAAAAACCTGGGACCTTATACATGCTAGACAAGTGTTCTGCTACTGAGGAACATCCCAGGAGTTACTTGGGAAAATGATATTTAAAATAAAATGAAAATAAAAGCAAGATGCAGACCAAAACATATGGCATGACTTTGTATTTGTTTTAAAAAAAAAAAGAGAGGGAAATAGTGTGTGTGCACATGCACCTGTTTCTCTCACACTGAATAAAAGGAAGAATTTATTTCCTTGTGTTATATAATTTAAAAAAGTTGTACAAAGCTTAACAATAGTTATGTTGTGTGCAGTTGGTCTGGAGAGAAAGATTTTGTTTTCTTATTTTTATAAAGGTTTCACTGCTGCAGTCTGGCTGGGCACAAAATAACGGAGCCGCCCCGAGGCACTTGTAGGTTCAAAACAGGAACTCCTATTATCCGCACTCCCGCGGACACCACCCACAGCGGGCCTTCCAGGATATACCACCTACTGGAAATCCCTCCTCCAGCACTTCCCCAACCAACACGAACTTTCCAGGAATCCCCACGAGAACTCCAAAGTAGTGGGCACCAGAGGCAGCAAGAGCCGGCCCTATATACAATACAATCAATCCAGCATCACAGCAGCTATATGTAGCTTAACTCAAATCATCATCTCAATGGTTCGCTGGCGTCACCTTTCAAACATTCCCTCTGGCAAATGCCAGGCTCATTCTGACTGGGCCATGGCTCTCAACATTTTACTATGAACCTTTGTGAAGTGATAAACAGCTTTTAAAATCAACAATACTTCATTATTACATAAATATAAGAATCTAGGATGTTAAATTAGTTATAAAACCAATCTGTGGCAGACCTATCATTAAACTTTTACTTTAGAAGAATGTGTCATAATCTACCTACCTCTAAAAACTAGGTTCTGTGCTAAGCTCAGGTTTTCATTTTCCCCTGGGCCCAATAGTGTACTTCTAATGTCTAAGGCTACGATTCCTAAAAAGTAGGTCTTAGTGACCAACAGCAAAATAATCAGTTACAAAAAATTTCCCAATAAGCTGAACAAACAGGCTAGAAAAGTCACAATGCGTAATTCCTGAGGTGAAGTCACAATGACTAGCCTTTCTCCCTCCTGTTTTATCTGAAGGTGGAAAAGCTATCAAAATATGCAATGTATTAAAGATAAATTATTCTTAAAACAATGCTACTTATTGTTTATGTAACAATGTATAATAAAAATATTAGGGGCAAAAATGATGCAAGGTCAACTAACTTTTCAAATAATTACACCAAAATGGGCTTATTCAAGAGCAAAAATAAAGTTGCATAATTTAAATCAAATTGCAAGTGCAATTTGTAATTTAAATGCTTTTTTGACCACATATGTATCATTTCAGCGTATTTTCTACCCATCATTTTTCAAAGTTTCCAATGTACATATCATTCATCTCTTAGCTGTATACATATACTATTTCATATTTACAAAAATGTTATTATAACATTTTACTTGTTATTAAACATTAAGTTCTTTATAACATTTTCTTTGCTTTTTTGTTGTGGTAAAAAATATATATTATCTAAAATTTGCCATATCAAACATTTTATTTTCATCTAAACCATTTTTAAGAGTACAATTCAGGGGGCTGGGGATGTGGCTCAAGCGGTAGTGCGCTCGCCTGCCATGCGTGGGGCACTGGGTTCAATACTCAGCACCAGGTAAAAATAAAATAAAAGATGTTGTGTCCACCGAAAACTAAAAAAAAAAAAAAATTAAAAAAAAAAATTCTCTCTCTCTTAAAAAAAAAAAAAAGAGTACAATTCAGGCCAGGGATTGTAGCTCTGTGGAAAAGTGCTTGCCTTAGCATCACATTAAAATAAATAAATAAAATATGACTATTGTGTCCATCTACAACTAAAAATATTTTTAAAAAGTACAATTCAGTGTACATTCATGCTGGGCATCCATCACCACTATCCAGGACTCTTTTCATCTTGTAAAACTGAAACTACATCCCATTAAACAATAATTCCCAAGTCCCATCTCTGCCCAGTCTCTAGCAACCTCTATTCTACTTTTTGTTTTTATTATTTTGACTAAGCACCTCATATAACTGGAATAATATGGTATTTGTTTTTTGTGTGTCTGGCTTATGTCACTTAGCATAATGTCCTCAAGGTTCATTCATATTGTAGCATATATCAGAATTTACTTCCTTTTTAAGGCTGGATAATATTTCATTGTATAAATGTTTTGAATTTCATTTTTCATCCATCACTTAATGAATATTTGGGTTGCTTCCACTGTATGTGTGTGCATAATTTTTAAGGTGTTATAATTTTCCACTGACTAGATAACTGTTTATCCATTTGTTGTTGACATCTGGGTTGTTATAAGAAATCACTAGGAACATCTTTGTGCCCACTGTTTTGACATTTCAGCTTATTTTCATTTTGGTAGTTTTTTCAGAAGATCACATGAATATAGAGCAGTGAGCAGCCAACTGCAAGACAACAAATCAGGTGGTGGTCTGCTCTGGTAAATGACGTTTACTTGAATGCATCACATTCATTTACAGATTATCTATGGCTATTTCCAGGCTACAAGGGCAGAGCTGAGTAGCTACAACAAGAAACCCAATGGCCCACAAAGTAAACATTTAAGTTAACACCTCCTGTAATAACCATTACAATTTTTATGTACTTGTAATACTTTTGATATATTAAAAACTGGGTTTGTGCATAATATAGTGTTATAACCTGAAAGTGCTTTCAGTTATAAACATGTTTCCATGCCATTCAATATTCTTTAAAAGTACAATTTTAATGGTTGCATGACATATTCATTTTTTAAAAAAATATTTTTTAGTTATCAATGGACCTTTATTTATTTATATGTGGTGCTGAGAATAGAACCCAGTGCCTCACAGATGCTAGGCAAACACTCTACTACTAAGCCACAACCCCACCCCCTTAACATATTCATAATGTGGACATACTTTAATTTGACCATTAAACCATTTAACTGAATTCATGAATCAAAACGTTTTAAAAAGACACATTACCTTTTCCCAGAAAGGGTACAAAACCATTTTACATACATGAAGCACATCCTTCTAAGAACAGACTTGTTTCATTATAAAAGTCTTCACTAATTCTGTAAATAAAAACTATTACCTTTTTTTAAAATGATGTTTTGTTTGTTTAATTATTAGGTTGACCAAATATGTTCGTTATCCCCTTCAAATTATTTTGTGAACATCCTTTTCATTCCCTTTGTCCATTTATGTAAGCACTGAGATTCTAGATTCCTCTTTGCAGTTTTATTTATTTATGGATAAGATTTTGTTAGATTTTGCAAATATTTTCAATTTGTTCTAATTCTGATTTTTATTATTTCTGAAATAAATTTAAATTTTTAATGTAATTAGATCTGCAGATAAATTCCCTTTAATTTGTTTAGTTTTTATATATAAAAACATGATTGTGTGGGGGAAAAAACTAAGTATATCATGACTATATATTTGTAGTTTCTCCTCACATATAAACAAATTTAAAATAAATCAACAGAATCCCCAAATTATGGTCAATCCATATTTTCAAGGCATATTTTTTTTCCATGTTACAGAGAAACTTTCTCTTTTAATTTTGGCTCGCTTGTTTTAAGTATTTGTTACTTTTCTTCAAAGTTAAAAGTTATGGAAATGCCAATTCAAAGGAGAAAGGAAAAATTAGAATAAGTTTGGGTCAGAAAGCTGCAGAAATAAAGCTCTCTCTCTCTCTCTTTCCATTCTATTTAGAAGAGATAAGATGTGAGAGAAAGAGCTCTGAACTAAGAGCCAAGATACCCTGGTTATGCTCTTAATCAAGTGAGCTTCATGACCTCTTAAGGATTTAGTCATTAGGCCTAGAAAATTTTAATGCCCTAAACAACTTGGAAAAATCTAGGATTCTACAATCAGTTCATTTAAAATTAAGCAAATTCAAATATTTGTATTTTCCACAGATGATAAATATTTCTCTTGTCTTCACTGAGCCCTTGTTCATGTCATCACTTTCCCCTTCTTCACAAATTCTGAGATAGTTACAATACTTAAAAGGATGATGGGATGAATATGGGACTTAATCACTTAGACCAGTGCCTTGGGAACAAAGAGGAGGTTTCTGCAATAATTTAAATATCTCATTTTCCCCATTAACACCGGTAAAGAAATATCATAGAATAGAAAAAAATTCACTTGAATTATGATGATACTAGAGACTTAAAAAAGAATTTTACATTTGTCATTTTGGGCTACCTCTCTGATCCTTCAAGGCTTATAAATTCATCTTATCAGCAACTAGGTCATGGAAAGTTGGAAAAGCACTGTAGATGTCAAGTAAAAACTCTGATTAACATGAACTTCTTTATTACAACTGATAAGTCTATTTAACTGGAATATGTTTACATTCTCAAAGGTAAAAGAGTTTGAGAGAATTATCTGGAAATAGCTATGAATTAATTAAATAGCTATTAATTAAATAACAATGTTATATAATTTAAAATCCTAAAGCTGGGTGCAGTGGCACCTTCCTGTAATCTCAGCAACCTGGGGCACTGAGGCAGGAGAATCTCAAGTTTGAGATCAGCCGCACCAACTACTGAGTTCCTGTCTCAAAAAATAACAAGGATAGTAGGTGTATCTCAGTGTTAAAGCACCCCTGGATTCAATACCTAGTACCATACCAAAAAAAGTAAAATAAACAAATAATTTAAAAAACAATAAAAAATCCTCTAGTTGAAAGTGATTTTGGAAATGTAAATAAACTATCAAAAAACTACAGACATTTCCTTCTAATTACACAATACTCAGCTTCATTATCTATAAAACAGTGGTAACCCATGGCTACCTAATGACATGGTTGTTAGAATGAGACAATATATCAGGTGCTCTGGCACAGAGTATGATTGACAGACAGTAGCCACTTAGTATTTTACATCTGCCACATAATTTTTCTCATGAAATGGACATTTCTTATATGAATGTACCATTTCCAGCACTCTAGATTTTAGAATAAAATATCCTCAAATGACTTAATATTTATTTACCCTTGATTTTAACATGAAAACCAAGATTTAAAAATTAAATCATTTTTGAGCAATTTAACAAATAGATATGAAAAATCACCTCTAATTAAAAAATTAAATTAATGCTTAATTCCTTAAAATGTACTAACCTGTTTTCTGAACTAGATGTAGAAGTACTAGATGATGACAATGTATGAGAATTTGACATGCGTGAAACAAACTTCTGGATGGTGTTACGAGATGGAGCTTTGATTCTTGAGCTACGCCTACTGTGATATTTCTGGAACAAACTCTCAACCTAACATTGGAAAAAGACAGTAATAAAGATATTTGTGCCATAATTATACATATGAAGAGTTCTAGTGGTTGAAATATTATTCATCTTTTATTTACATATGTTTTTCATAAAGCTGGTTTAAGAGCTTCAAAATTAAGAACACAGTTTACTTAGAAAAATATTCAGTGTTCACTGTTTTATTCATTTTAGAAAAAAAAATTTATCACTCAAGAGATCTCAAGAAAACTATCAGTACCAAATACTTCTTACATACCTTTGCACCTTCAAAATGATCACTGTTTATTTAAATTTGGAGCTCATAGAAGAAAACTTTCAGAAATATATAAATTTGTTCACAATTTTAAAAATTCCAAAGTATTTATAAAAAAAAATTACCTCAAAATTTTTTAAAGTTTTTCTCCATAACATTGGATCTGAGGGTTCTAGTTGAAACACCCGGAGCATAACAAATAATAGATGAATACAAAATGTTCCACGCCCACAGCTGCAGTTCTGAAGAATTAAAAGAATTAAAACTGATGGGTTAATAAATCTGTGGTTTATCACTTTCTTAATATTTTTAAAGTGTTTATAGAAAATATATATTAATGTTTTTCATTATCTTTACATGTAAGACAAGTCTACAAATATTTCTACAAATTAATCTCTTATTTCAGTGAACTTATTAAAAAGATCAAATTTATTTAAGGTATTGATTCATAGTAAAAAATCTCATAAATACATTTAAGAAAAACATTATTAGCCCCCAAATACATTTTAAACTCACTTTACTCAAGGGGATTAACTGATCTCAATTTAAGATAGTATGTAAATGTGAATTAGTACCAGATGCTAATACAATATAAGATGGTGACAAATACTACCTGTGGCCCAATAAACACTCGGTACTTGTTGTCGGGGCTGTCTCCTCCGATCAGGAAAGAGTTGGGTCCTATTTGCTGCAGTAAGTACAGCCTGGCCCGCATCACTTTGTTCACACGGCGGTTTGTTTCCTCAGGGCTGTACGGTGAGAAGCCATCCGGGGAAGGGGCTCTTCGAGGTGGTGTGATTCTGCCGCTCTGAAACTTTATGACAGTGTTTTTGTTTTCTAGGTTTCTTACTTCTCAACAAGAAGTTAATAGTAAAAAAAAAAGTCTACTAGACACCCATATGGTAGATTATATTCTAAAAAAAAAAAAAAAATGCTTCAATGTGTCATGAAGCAAAGTCAGGCAAAATGCTGTCCTGATATACTCATCTCAGGTGAACTTTGGTAATCTCAGTCATCCTTACAACTGGTGATAACTCTGGCTGAGTGAGAACCACAGGTCAACTTCACAAATTACTCTGTAAACATCTGAAAAGTATGCTTGAAAGTATTATATAAACCAAAATAAAAGCATAAAAAGTAAACTCCAGCAGCAGGCAAAATGACTATGTCTAGGGGTAAAAATTAAACATCCAACTTCCTGCCTTCTACTTAAGGCTTTATTAAATGCTCTTCGGTGATTTGGAACTTACAAACACTTCCTGGAACTCCTTCTATTATACATTCTATAGATACTCTTTCTTGATTAAAACATCTCACTGGAATCCCAGCAACTGGAGAGGCTGAGGCAGGGGGATCACAAGTTTGAGGCTAGTCACAGCAACTTGGCAAGACTTTGTCTCAGTGCTTCTAGGTTCAATCCCCAGTACCAAGAAAAATTAAAATAAGTAAATAAGTAAGTAAATAAACCTCGGTGGAGGCTGACAAAAACTTTCCTGTGGAGTAACATACTGCTCTTACTATACTTCACTGATTTTCCTACAACTTGTTCTTTTCATCACTACCCAGTAAAAATACTGGTTGTTTTGGATGCACAGCTGAATAGTTAAAAATAATAAATGTTGGCAAGAGCACAAAGCAACCAGAATACTGTGTGTAGTTGCTTTGGGAAACTATAAGCAGTTCCTCAAAATGTTAAACATGTTACTCAGCAATTTCACTGCTAGGAATAACCCAAGAGAAATGAAAACATATGCCCCCACAAAAACTTGTTAATGAATGTTCACAGCAGCATTTTTCATAATAGCCAAAAGGTGAAAATAGCTCAATTGATGAATGGGTCAACAAAACATACTATATATGCATAAAAAAGAATATTATTCTGCAATTGAAAATTAATGTAATATTGATGCATGTAATAGAACATGGATAAACTTGACTGTGACTAACTTCTTTCATAGAAGACCACATATTGTATGGTTCCATTATATGAAGTGTTCAGAAGAGGGAAAACAGATTAGCAACTGCCTAAGGCTGGGCACAGTCCGCTGTTCAAAGGAAAACTTTAGACTAAATAAATCTAACAGTTTATTTGGGCAAAGAATGATTCATGAATCAGGCAGTACTCAAAACTAGAAGAGAGTCAGAGAGCTTTACCTTAGCAGCATGAAGTAAAAAATCAGCTTCTATAGGCTGAACACAAAGTAATTGCTGGATGGCCACAGGGAGGCTTTTGCCTTATCTGGTGGTCCCTAGTTATATAACCAGTTGGCTGGCTGGCTGTTTGTGATTGGCCAATGGTCAGTTTGGTTTCCAGGTACAAAAACAGCTCCAGACCAACAGCCTCCTGGTTAATTTGCTTTAAGAGTGGGATTCTTTTGGGGGTTGGGGGAGATGTGGGATACAATTCTGTTTATATTTCTATATAGTTTTACCACCATGACCCCCACGAACCACACCTCCCACTATTTACAGCCTGTGTAAACCCTAACACATGGATACTGGGTTTGGGCAGGTAGCTAGCTTTGGGCAATCAGGCAGTCCAACATGATAGAGTGGAGGCTAAGAAGAGCTTGCATGTTGCAGCTTGCCCTCCTGAAACACTGTTGCAATCCAGGCACCCTGCTATGACAAAGGGATGCCAATAGTCCCCAACTACTCTAGCCTTCCAGCAGAAGCCATGCATGTGAATGGGGAAGCACCCTTAGCTAGTCCAGCTTCAGCAGATGCCATGGGGAGCAGAAAGCCACCTCTGCTGAGCTGTGCCCAATATGCAAAATTTGGGAATTACTAAAAGATAGTTATTGTGTTAATAATGAAAATGTACTTTTTTAGAAGGGTCTATGTTCTTTCACAACTTGAGATCTGAGGAAAACCAAAGCTCCTCCCTTTGGTCACTCTCTAACCATTTTTCCATTTACTCATTGGCTTCAAAGTTTTAGAAAGTTTAAGTGTCTGTCATGAAGGGCCCACCTGCTTTTTTTTTTTTTTTTTTGCAAATCTCTTTGATGACTGGCTTAACATAAAAAACAGTTGGATTCTCAGTTACTTCTGCATTCAATCTGCTGACATATAACGTGTTGGCCAGGGTAAGTGTAGGAAAGAAAACCGACCTCACACAGTTATGTAGACATAAAACAAAGGAATATTCTGATAGACTTTTCAAATAATTATGCATAGTACACCAAGGCTCAAAAGTGGTTTCTTAAAAGTAGCTGTAATGTGAAATATGAAATCACACCAACAATGTTTCCCTACTGGTTAAAATCCAGATGACCTATTTTATACTTTATATGGATCCTATGAAATCATTGTTTTATACCACATAATACTCATCTGGAGTTCACTGAGTCATGCAGATCTTCCAAACACTCACATTTCATTACAATATTTTTTTAAAAAATCACATCTGGTGTCACCTATCTCATTAGAGAAATCTTGGGAAACTGTTAAGTTCACAGTGGTGAATATGACTTTTCTAAAATTCTAATTTTTGCTTTAAAATCTCAAATTTTGTCATTGGTGAAGAGTTTGTTTCAATTTGTTTGGCAGAAAAATATCTGCCAAATACCCAAGTCTGAATAATCATAGTTTGTTGGCCAGTCATTTTTTCAAATAATAATATTTCATAAAAATACAACTTCTAGTTCACTTTGTGACTCTAACAATCACATGAATGTTTTTCCTTGAGACAACCACTATATTTTGGCATGGAGGAGAAGTGCTTTATGAAAGCTTCTCATTTCATCACAGAATATTTAAAAGGTGTGTATTTAATAAGAGTTGGGACCTAATAAAATTAATTTGTATTTCTCTGTCAAAGGCATTCCTAAGTAAAAGTGGCTTTTGTTTCTTTTAATGGCCAACATATAGCAATAAAGAAGAAAAATTCTGTTGTCATAGCCTTATTTCAGGTGAAGTCACCAGAAGTTTTACCCACCACAATTACCAGTGCAGTGAAAGACGCAAAAAACATATTTTATTAAAAAATTAGTTTGACCTAATGGATCAGAAGAGGTCTCAGGACACCACCCCCACTCCCAACATGAGTATCTAGATCATACTTTGAAATTCTAACAGAATGCTGGGCAATATTTTCTGTATTATAAATGAGTCTAGAAATGATAGAAAATAATATATTTGTCAAAACGTTAACTTACAGGCACTGGGGAAACTCTTTTTCTCCTTACTCCTGGAGATTCTGATTTTACTGTGCGACCAGATGGGGAGCTACCAGGAGATGGGCTCCGACGGCCTTTGGGAGCTGGTGAAGCAGCACTTGCCAGGACCTCTCCTTGAGATTCAGCTGCCACGTTATTTATTTCAGATCCATCTCCTTTAATAGGGATTGGTTTTACCACCTAAATAAAAAGTATTCAATATTTTGGTTACTCAAAAACATAAATGATAAATGAACTTGAATATCACAGACTAGGAAGTTAATCAGATTATATAAATATACCAGAAATTATACCAAATTTTATTTGGTATTACTTTATTTTTTAAAAATTTAAACCATAAATGTTAAAGACATTTTTACTTATATAAAAGTCAAGTCATTTATGGTTTCTTATTAGTTAAAATGTTTTTGTACAACATTTTAGAAATGGTACTGTTATTATATGCCCAAACTCATTTAATATTTGAAATCAATAATCAAAAGTTAACCAACAAATGTGAAAAATAAGCACTTATAACATCTATAGTTAATTTACTAAATAAATGAAGATCTTTTCATTTATTTTGAAAAAATGCAGGGTCTGAAAAACTCAGCATGATTTTAAGTAATCAAATAATCTGACTGATGAATATAAACCATCTTGCCCTTTATTTTTTTTAAACAATTACATTTCATAATAGTCTAGACACATATCTCAGAAAACCAAAAGAAGCCAGAAGCTTAAAGAATCTCAAGTAGAAGTTCAGTTTAAAATACTTTTTTTTTTAAATTTTAAATCTCTCAGATTGAATATAGCCATAAACAAAAGGCCAAACTTTCTGGTCTTCCTACTACTTCTATTACACAGTCAGTCATTATTCCATTAACCTTGTCTAACCTTCCCTCATTCTGTGCTCCACTCACTCTCCTCCAAATCCTCATCTCCAGCATGCAGTGTCCCAGGCAGCATACCATCATGTGAAAAAAACTCATCCATTTTTTTAAAAATTTTTTTATTTGTTTTACTTAGCCATGACAGTAGAATGCATTTATGCACGTTGATATACCATACATAGATGGAGTATAATTTCTCATTTTTCTGATTGTACATGTTATAGAATCACACTGGTCATGCAGTCATATAGATATACATAAAGTAATAACATCTGTTTCATTCTACTATCCCTCCTATCCCCACATCTACCCCCACCCCCACCTTCACTCTCTTCTACCTAATCTAACTCTGTTTTTCTTTAGTGCCTTCCAACCCTGCCACCCTTATTGTGAATTAGCATCTGCATATTAGAGAAAACATTAGGCCTTTGGTTTTTTGGGATTGCCTTATTTTGCTTAGCATGATATTCTCCAACTCCATCCATTCACTGGCAAATGCCATATTTCATTCTTCTTTAAATCTGAAACTCATCCATTTTAAAGGCATGGTTAAAATCCTACCTTTTGTGGAATGTCCTTTAACTCCACAGCTTGACATTCTCTTTCCTAAGTCCTTACTGCTCTTTGCACACCCCACTCATTAGCACCTAGTCACAAAGTACTTTTGTGATATTTCATGCATGTGATATTTTAGTTATTGTGTATAAGCCTTAGTTTCCCATTTGGAAATATTTATGGCTTACTTAGGTTTCAAGAAGAATATAAAGTAACTTACATAAAACAATAAAAATAAACAAAACCAAGTAGATAGTTAACTTTTTAAGGATAATTTGAAATCTATAAACCATAAAATGCAGAATGGGGTAATTAAGCTTAGGGACAATATGTTAGGTGTCTTATTCTACACACCTCTGCCCTCTTCACTCCTGTTCTACATACGTAGACAAGGTATTTAAGTATTTGCTGGAAAGTGGACAGTGAGAAAAAAATTTTTGGTTTTGGAAAACTAGAAAATGTTAATTTATCCATAACAAAAGATAGATGGTTGGCTCCCCTTTAAAAAGTTGTAATTTCTGCTCTGTGGGTTTCTCAGAAGCGTTAGACTCTTAATACCTCTAGCTCAAAGAGCTCAGAAAACAGCACATTCTAACTTCACATGGCTTTAATTATTCAAAAGTTCTTTATACTGAGTAGAAATCTCCCCCTCTAACTGCCACTTTCTATAAGATGTTTCAGTAGAACATTCTACTAAGACAAGGCCTTGATTTTTTTTTTTTTATCCTCTGACAAGAATAATAAAATGGTGAGGGGTTTCCATCCATATCTCGAGTGAGGAAGAAATGCAAGAAATGTACTAGGTTTAGCTGGAAAGGAAAGAACTCGTGAATACCAAGGTAGCCAAAAAAGTTTGCAGGTAAAGGACAAACAGATTTATTCTGTATAAGTCCATGAGACAGAATTAGAACCAGTGGGTAGAATACAAGTAACAGCTGACACTCAGTGATACGGGGTGTCCAAAGCCTTCGGGGCTACTGAGATATCTAACTCTGATTAGCGCTAGACCTCCAGCAGCATTGAGATGATAGAAATGCTCTGTAACTACACTGCCCCAATGGCAGCTGCCAGGCACATGTGGTTACTGAGCATTTGAAATGTGGCTAGTGAGACTGAAGGACTACATTTTTACTTTTATGTTTAATTTAAACAGGTATGTGGAATGAAAGTAAGGCTAGATATTTGATAGGGGTGTAGTTTAGATGAATCTTATGCTGCAGTCTTTGTTTATAAAGAAAAAACATAAAAACTTGTTGGTATAGATTGGTGCTAGGACACTGTAACAATTAGAATCTATTTCTTCCTTTATAAGAATAAAGAACTGTATTTCATAATGCTGTCTTCATACTTTGAATAGAGTATCTCTAACTTTCCCAATCTATGAACCTAGGTTATCTTTTATCAAACCCCATAAAGTTTTCATTCATCTTTAATCTTAAACTCCTTGTATCTATTTAATTTTTCTGCTTTCTTAGAAGACTTCTGGAATTAAGATCCTTGCATCCTATTTTAGAGATAAAGCATCCAAAATATATTGGAAAAACTGCTCCAATAAAAGAATTTTAGATACTGACATTAGAGGGCAGTGTTGCTTTAATCATTTAGCCCTCCACCAAACAGTTAAGTTCCTACAACAGTTTCTCAATTAGCATAGCTTTAATTATGGTTTGTTTCAAGTGGCCAGAATAGCAAGCAAACAAAATTACTGCATTTAAAATAAAGAAGATGAAAACTTACAAGGGGATCTATTTATGCTTAATTTTCCATTTCCTCCTATGCTTTAGAGCAGGTAATCCCCAGTCACTCACCACAGGACCTCTCCTGTTTCTCCTTTCCAACCATTCGTGTTTCCAGGCTGGCATACAGGTGGCCTTCAGTTTCTCCCTGATCATTCGTTCCTCTGGGCGATCGTCCATCTTGTGCAAGCCTTTGAGAGTTTCCTTACTCTCCATCTCACGACTAAAATGGAGGGAGAAATGAAAAGGAGACTCTTTATACTGGAAAAATAATTTCAAAGACAGAACAGTTCTGTTTCAATGTTCCAATGAACATGTAACCAAAAGACAACTACCACAAGCCCCAAATGATTTAAGCAAGGAATGAAAATATTAGAAATTATATTACAAATACTACTGTGTGGAGAGTATTGAATGTTGTCTGATAACATGAATTTAATGATGCTCCAGGTGGTTACCCAAATGGATCCTAAGCATTAAACATTAACAAACACATTCATGAAGACTGCACTGCTTCTAATTCTACCACCCTAACACAGTCATGTATAAGGCAGAAAAGTATTTAGAAGGGTATATTTTTTATTTTCTATTTTTGTTATTTATTTATTGTTTCTTTTTAAGGAAGGGTATCTTAACTACCATTTTCTCATGGATTTAGTTCTGAAATGAACTAAATAAATATTTAACAAGGAACTTAACTAGATCTTCTATGATCCTAATATAATGTTTCAAAGGCTATATTATTAAATTTGTATTTTCCTAGCCAAAAAAAAAAAAAAAAACACTTGGGTACTCCATACCTAAAGAGTAAAAATTACCTAGTACAAATATTTTGATCTTTACTTCATAAAATAATATGGAGGTACCAGAATAACTTCTATGCTAAGAACTTTTGAGAACTGATTCCACAAAACATCAGAGGTAAAGTGTCATTCTCAGCAAAAAAAAGATATTCATATCTACATGTGCATGCATATTCATACACACACAAACACAACATGCAAAGATGTAACAACGGGGTTCATAAGGAAACAGTTAAAGTAATTGTATTCTGGGAGAAGCAACATTTTTTAAATTGTTAATTTACAGTTATTGAAAAGCTAGAAAATACTGATTTTTTTTTGCTACCAACAGGAAAATGAAAATATGGAAATACCAAAGATGATAACGTTAAGCTTACTAAAAAGTCAAATTCAAACTCCTTTAGGAATTTTTCAGTTAATCACAACTTTGAAGTAATATCTTCAAAGAACCAGCAAAAACATCTAAAACAAAATAAATAGGCACTAAAAAGGAAATGCTTAACTGGTTTTAATGAAGCAATGACATTGTGGGGGAGTGGGAACCAACATGTTTTTAACTGTCAAGAGACTGGTCTAGATATTTTTAGGAAAACAAAGAGGATATAACATTTGAGTTGAATCTTGCAAACAGACATTAAGACCATATAGTAAAATATTTCTGTCACACAGAAAAACTGTCATATAGCATAAATGAACATGAGATGGGGAAAAAAGGTCATTTTTGTCTTTTGTAAAGAAAGATTATCTCATTTACTTAGAATTATCTGTTTCTTTTCATGTTCTGGTTATGTCATATTAATGTGACAGGTATATGTAGGAGAAAGCTAAGAGGAAGGGATAAGGAAAGAGAGAAATGGGAGGGAAGGGAGGAAGATGGGAGAGGAAAGAGGGAGAACGAGGAAGGGAGAGACAGGAGAAAGAACACAGGGGATACATGGGGAGATGGGGTAGAAACATTTTGCCCAAAATTCATCCCAATCAATACTTGCATTGAGGGAAGCTCAGGTTTTGTAATCTGACTGCCTACCAAAATTTACTTGCAAGTCCCCAGTATAAAAAACAAAAATTTTCCCTTTTCAGTAACAATGTATTGAGGTACCCTTAGGTTCCCAGCCTAGTTCTCAAAAAAATTCAGTCCCAGGGTGGAACTGCTGTGCATTTTTATGCCAGAAATTCTTATGCTTCCAGACAAAGGTGCTTATCTTCTTCCCTCTAAGACTACATGTTTCCCCTCTCCCAAATTTGTTTCAAGAGGGTCTCTTCTCATTAATTCTATTTTTCCCCCCAGCTGGGGAGAGGAAGGTTCTGCATTTTTAGCGCCTCTCTTCCTGGCACCCATCCAGATGCACAGAGGACTGGACGGTGTAGTCTCCTTAAGAGTCTGCAATGATTTATTTTTTTCCCCCCACTTGTTTAAAAATACTAAACAATAGGGATGTGAATTCTAGCAGCTAATTTTTTGCACAAGAGAGTTTTTTTCTTTACAATAAATGCCTGAAAATGGAATTGCTGGGTCAAAATGTGTACAAATGAAAACTTTTGATAATACTGGCAAATTATCTTTAAGAATATGTATCTTCCACTTTTACTCCCCCAGGTGGAGCTGCTATATCTGGTCTGAACTAGCAACCTATTTCTAAGGGGACTTCTCATGAATTCTTACTCCTGTTCAATCCACAGAGACTCTAAGCTCACTTACCCATTAAAATCCTCTGGCAGATTTCCCCTGCGGTTAGACTAAAATCCAAAAGGTATGGAATGCCCTCTGAGGCTCGGCACCATGGCCTCACCTCAACTCCTGTGTCCCAGGCATATACCCCACTCTCCTGCTTCTTTCACTGTCTCAAGAACCCTAGGATCCTTCCTGTTCAGGGCTTCTGCAGAGCTTTTTCTCACTCTGCCTACTTCTCACCTAGTTAATTTTTACCCATTCCATCTAGATTTTTTTCCTCAACGTCTTCAGAGACCTTCCTAGTCTCAATTAGGAATTCCCAGTTCTATTCATTCACAGCCCATGTACTTTTCCTTTAAATTGCTCAGTGCAATTTGCAAAGCATCCCCCGACCCCTCACCAAGTATAAGATCCATGAGGGCAGGGTCCAGATGTTTTATTCATTTATATAGCCAATATCTAAGCATGTTGTCATTAACATATAGGCACTAACATAAACATTGATTATTTATTAATATCTTTAGCAGTCCTAAGGAAACCTTTAAAACCTAATGACTATTCATGTTACTTCATCTTTTTATGGTTCTTTATTTAATTATGACTAAATCTGCAAATTAGATTTTATTCAGATGAAGATTTTTTGTTGTTTATAAGTTACTCTGCAAATACACACCAAAGTGTTCTTTCTAGTCTTTTCATGATTATATAGCATTAATTCTAAAATATGTATCTTTTCATATTTTAACATCTAAATTCTGAAATGTCTCTTAACATTCAGAGCAAATGTTGCAATTAACAGATATTTTTTTCCCCTTATAATTTACAACCATTGGAATTCTCAGAATCAAACATGCCAGAAAGGAATCATTCCTACTCAGTTTGTCTCTGAAAAAAATGAAAATCAAAATGTGGAAAGAAAAACCAAGTTTTTCTACATGCTTGTATTGTTTTCTCATAATCCTAACATAACCTTCACAGATCACATAGACGTGGTTTTTATTTTTATCAGGTGTTAGTGTGTTTGTATGTATGTACATGGCAATGAATTGCCATTCAATTATTATCACAACTACAGCAGAAAATAAACACGTTTTTAAACCAAACTAATAGATAACTGCAAAGTCACTAAGAGATGAGAGCCACCTCTAACTTATGGTAGGGAAACATGTTTTAGGGAGTTGTTTCTGCCATAGTTATTATCTAGAAACACATCTGTTATTTCAACTAAAACAGCTTATATATTTCTTACTTTTAAATAATAGATAGTATTTGCAAAGCAAAAATGTGTTTTGAGAAACTGCCTTTTAAGATTTAAAAGTATAGAAACAAAGTTTTAGCCAGATAAATATGAGAAACTTTCAAGATCAGGCTTGATCTTCAGAATTCTTGTTCACTTAGGAAACATGATGTTTCTTGCTTTTTGTTTGTTTCTGAACATTCCTCAGAATGAATTTATGACTGACCTAGATTTTCGAGGACCTTTCCATCTTGAGGTTGGGTGTGTAATCAATCCTAGACCCTTTCCAGACCTACAGACTTAACCTGCTAAAAATGGGGTGCTTCAATTGCCCCTTCTCAGGAGAGCCAGTTGGTCCTCCTTTTATCTGACCAGTGTGGTACCACCATTGTTGACTGTACTGTTTCACCTGTAGGTCTCCCCTCTCTTCTATAAGATCGTTTTTCTTCTAGGTCTGAGTCTAATCATCTTACTAATCTCATAGTACCATCAACGAGCCTGGAGTGCCTTAAATACCAACCACTGCCCTGTTCTTGTAGCACTACAATTCTTCTTAAGTTCACCAAGGCATTTCACACCTGTCTTCGCAGGTAAAAAATTTCCCCCCTTGTCAGGAATACCCTTTGCTACCTCATATGCCTTCAGTAAAGAACTTCCTGTCACTGTTCTATGGTGACTAGCTACTCCTTCCCAGAATGCTAAAGATTAACTGTAATAGAGTATTAAAATAAAGTATATGTTTTATGTATCTGTCTCCCTCATCACATTGGGAGATCTTACAAGACAGGCTGTATCTTATTCTATTTTTATCATCAGTGCCAAATGTTCCTGTACAGCCCAAAAAAGGTATTCCCTTTCTGGGAAGCCTACCCAGCACAGCCACCTCCCTTCTAATACTGAGGGCATTTTGCTTTGTACATATGAACCCATCCCACAGTCTGCAGTTGGCTGGTCCAAGAATGCACGTCAGTGGAAAGACCCTCTATACTAAATCGTATTGTATATTTTAGATCTCCTCTCTTTGAGAATTTAAAAGTAAGATACATGGTAAGAGTTACTGCAGGAAGAATGACATTAAAGAGGAAAAGAGCCAGATAGTAAGTAAAAGAATGAGACAGAAATAGGGTGAAGAGAAATCTTTGTCAGAAGATGTAGTTAACAATGGAAAGTCAATAAAAGTAAACCTAAGAGTTGTTCCTGGGTACCTTCGCATGCAAACAGACAACTAGTGCTACATGTAAACATCCTGGGCAATGAATGCCTAGGTTCCAGGGGCCATTCGCGCATGCTGCAAGGAGGAAATGCCTCTGTGGATTCTTTACTTTGGAAAGAAATACACCCTAACATATGTCTGTTCTGTGCTACGCCAAAGAGCCTAAAATACTAGTTCTATATAATGCCTGGCACAAAGAAGACACTAACCCTTGAAAATGGAATCCTACCAAGTGCCCTGTAATTTTTTTTAAAGAAAGTTATTTCTTAAATGGTTCACCTTTAGCAAGGAAACACCT